GGAGGGGGGGGGGGGGGGCAACAGACCGCCGTCCGTTGGTTCGACCGAGTGCGTTGGCTGACCCCCCTGAGGAATCTGTCACTGCAGCACGAAACTGTCAAAGAGTTGCTTTGTTAGCTTGGCGCGGAATCGTACTGGAGCCACGTTTTTTTTTGTTGTGCCACTTGGTTGTATATGTTTTGAGAGAGGAAGGTCAAGAGGGGGAAAGAAGGGAAGAGCATGCGCGACGGTGATGCTAGCTAGCTGGAACACAACGGCCCTTCTGCGCAGTACGGTGCACACCTCTTGTGCATGTCCATGTTGAGGTTGGTGCTTCGCACCTGAAGAACCCTGTCGGGTTGTTCTCCGCTGACTCGGATCGATACATCCGTGTTCCGTTGTGATTTCAGAAGAATAACGCAATTTTGGCGTGCTTTGGTTGTTTCTTAGAACGATATGCGTGGGTTGTCGTGTGTGTGGCCAGCTCGATGGACCCAAGGAACATCTACCGCTGCTTGTAGGAAGTACTTCTGAGACAAGTCTTTGCCATCCAGTAAAGGCTACCAAGACACCCGTATCTCTATCTCAGCGATGCAGCCGTCGTCATCCGCGAAACGCGCAGGAGAAAAAAAGTCTCTCTTGTTATCTAACCCCTGCCGTGTCCCGCTGCCCTGCAAATGACCGCTGTTGCGACGACCACTGATTGCAGCGAGATGAGGACGACGAGCAGCAAGGAGGAGCCCCGGCGGTGGGCGTTGAGGGGGGAGCGGGGCGGGGTGCGGGAGAGGGAGAGTCGGTGCGGAAAGAGATGTACCTCATCAAGTGGAAGAACCTCAGCTACCTTCACAACAGCTGGGAGATGGCGGCGCACCTGCAGGTACAGCAGCACGCCGCATGTCTTGTCTCGTATGGTATTTAGCCCCCTCCCGAGGTTTTGACGCCCGGTCGGGAGAACGGTTTGGTACGGTACCGTCGTACGGTACGGTGTGGTCGGTACGGCGGTACGGTACGTTCTTTCCGGGGTGTTCGTTGGAACGGGGCGGTCTTACCCGCTTTAGCACCGCTGGGTGATATATATTTGTAGTAAACTCTCCGCTCCGTATTTTTCCCAAAAATGAGAATCCGCTTCATGTGGTGCACAAAACGCGGTGCGGTTGAACTCGGTGAATAGCCCCGTTTTTTTTTTTAACTCCGGCAAGATTAAGATTGTTTCCAGTGTAGGCGTGCTAGGCATGGGATGCATGTCTTCCCTGTTGTGGAACGGTCGAGCTTTTGATGTCGGGGAAGTTGTGCATTGTGTGTTTCTGTTGGCATCGACCCCGCTAACGGACCGAACAGCGGTTAGACGTCTATCTTATTTGAGTGCGGCTGACAACGTAACTCGCCTCTCGAAAGACCATGATATGTGCTTGTGTGTGTTTGTTCGTGTACAGTGTCTTGTGTCTCTCACTGCGTGGCGAACCAGAATGGTGCACGGATCGCACTCCTGAATGGGCGTCGCGGGTGGCGAGTGTGGGGAGAACGCACATGACGGTGCAGCTTCATCCTTTGTAGACACACTGCTGCTGTTGCCGTGCCACGGCCAAATGGGTTGAGTACCGCCTCGCTATTCTCTGAGCTACGTTACAGCTCTGTATCATCCCCCCTCCCCATACCACCCTGACCCCACCCCTCTATTTGGCGGTGCCCCCTTCCAGGACCCACGACACCCCAGCAACCGCCAGAAGCTCCTGCGGTTCAACAACAAGATGGAGCAGGAGCACGGCCCGCAGTGGAGGAAGGTCATGGAGGACGAAGACGCGGAGGAAGGGGCGGCGGAGAAGGTGATGCGATGAATGAGTGAATGGTGTTGTCCTTGTTCATTGTCGATGCCATCAGGTATTGCTGTTGTTGTTGGCGGTGTTGATGCTGTTGTTGTGATTGTTGTTGATGTTGGTGCTGGTGCTGGTGCTCTTGTTGTTGTTCAGTGTTGTCGTGGTTGGTGTCGTGGTTATTGTTGCCGTTGTGGGCGATGGTGGTGTTGGTGGTGGGAGTGTCGATGCTGTTGTTGTTGTTGTTGTTGTTGTTGCTGGTGCTGTTGTTGTTCAATTGTTATCGTTGTTGGTGCCGTCGTTATTGTTTCCGTTGTAGGCGATAGTGCTGTTGGTGTTGTCGATGTTTTGCTGTTTCTTGCGGTGATAGTGATGGTGATGGTGATGGTGATGGTGATGGTACCTTGTGGTGGTCTTGGCGGTTGTTTTCGATGACTCGTTTTGCCGTTGCCGTTGGGTTGTTGTCGAAAAAACTGCGGTTGTTGAGTGGTGAACGATGATGCGGGGCGACGTCTACGCACTTGACCAAATTCTTTTGAAGACCTCAGTTCAAAGATCCTCCTCGTCTAATTTGGAGATGGCGCACCCGCCCCTCGCCCCAACAGTTTTCATGACTACAGCAGATGACGGCGGCAAAGCTTGAGCCGAGTCTTGATGATGAATCGACGTCGCTTTTTTTGTTGTTGTTTTGTGGTTGCCGCGTATGGTAATTCCAACCGGTGTTTTTATCTTTTTCCCGTCTTTTTTCCTTGAACAACAATGACAACAACCATAATGACGACGATGGTGATGATGTTTTATTCCTGGGTCGTTTCTCTGTGTTGTTGTTGCCGCTTCTGACCATTCTATCCCGGTTATTTTTCTTTGTCCCCGTGGCATTTGTGGAACATTAACAACAACAACAACAACCACGACGACGATGACGATGGCAGGAGTACTACCCCTCGGACATGGCGGAGGTCCAGCGCATCGTCACGTGCGAGGCCACCAGCACCGCCCACGAGGCCGTACTCCGAAAGGAGAGACACGACATGCTCTCCGGAGACTCCGCCGCTGCCGCTGCCGGCGCCGCCGCGGCCCCCGCCGCCGCCGGAGGCAACGACGATGGCGACGACAGCGATCCGGACTCCTTGGTGCTGTACCTGGTGAAGTGGAGGGGGCTGCCGTACGACCAGTGTTCGTGGGAGCACTTCAAGGACATCCGGTTCGCGTCTGATCAGATCTTGGACTTCTGGGACTTCTGCCGACCGCGCCCGGAGGTAAATTTAAAAAAAAAGAAGCTGGGATGACGTCATGGTGGAGGGAGAAGAACAGGGGCGCGGATTGGCTTGCGTGGTTGTGGTGCCGGGAGGATCATGATGATTTCCTCCCCTCGCATGATTGCGAGCTGCATTGGACTAAGCACGTTGTTGTTGCGATGCGTTTTTCCTGGCCCGCCCATACGCCGGGTTGCATGTAGCAACCTAGGAGAGCAAACACCTTCCTCCGGGTATGGGAGGTGTTGTAGTGTGACCCTGTTCGACGTGGGTATGCGTAGGCCGGCGTTTGTTTTTTATCGACGCCATGAGTCCTTCCTTCGTTCCGTCCCTTGCGTGGCCTTCTTCCTGTTTGACCCCGGTTGGTGCGTCCCTCTGGCTCACCGCAGGCTGTCTAGATTGATTGACTCCTGCAGACAACATGATGGCACCAACGATAAATATCCCTCTTCCCCACGGCTTGTTTCACAACCCTGAACGGCCTGCCTTTCCCGCAGGAGATGGCGGAAGTCAACGCTCAGCTGTCGGCGGGGGGTAAGGGGAAGGGCGGGGGGGTTCGTGGCGGCGGGGAGGCTCTCAAGGGGCACAACGTGAGTATTACACATACTTTCTTCTCTTTTATTGAGTGGACACCTTCCTCTTTCTTTTGTGTCTCAAGGGACAAAAACGTGTGTTTGACAAACGTATGTTTGGCCCTTTTGGTTTTGTGTTTCACAGTGTCTCTGTACTCTGTGTAGTGTTTCGTCTCTTTGGTTTGGGTTTCACGACCTCTATTCCTTGTGTCATGTCATCTCGTTGGTCAGCTGCGTACTAGCTGTCCCGTTGGTGAGCGTTTGGTGAGGTCGATAAAGTAGGACTCATTTTTTTTTACAAGGCAAGTGTGTGGGATGCTCTGAGAACCAACTAGGCTCTGGGAGGAAGAAGCACAGGTGCGGCTAGCGGCTGCTGCTGCTGCTGTGGAACAGGCAGCAATTCGCGGTTCTGCTGTACCTTCTGTGGTCGAGCCGAGCTGTTTATGTCCTCGCAGTAGTGTCGTCCATCAGCAACCCCAGCAACCCCCCCCTTTCCCTCCCATCATCGCTGTCTCACCCCCACGTGCCTCTCCATCTTGTGCGTTCAAATTCTACGCCGTCTTTTTTACTCCCTGCGTGTCAACGACATACAAACGTTTTATGTTTTCTAAGCTGCGGGTGCGGGACTTTACGAAGCTCATGACAAGCCCGGTGTTCGGGGTCACCGCGGCGGAGAAGGCCGCCAAAGGGGGGGCGGGGAGCGGGGGCGGAGGCGCAGGGGGGGGCTCGCGGGTGGAGCCCGCCGCCGCCGCCGCCGGGGGGGGGGGACTTACCCTCCGAGACTACCAGCTAGAGGTGCGTACGGTACCGTACCACGATCTGGCACGCTCCGCCTGCAATAGACGGGGAGCATACACTCTTGAAGGTATTGGATAGATAAGTAAATATGCATCGCGTTGAAAAATCTTGAGCCCGGAACGGCAGTACTGTGAATTGTGTGTGAGTAACTTTTTTTTTCTTCTTCTTCACGGTAATCGGGGCGAAGTAACTTGTCTGGCTGGACGAAGGGGGCGTGGGCTGCCGCTACCGGCGTGCAATTAGGCTCGCCCTCGGTGCGGAATTTTAATGTCATTTCTCTTTTGGCCCTGCCGGAACAAGTTTGTAGCGTCCGGTTTTTGCTGTCAGGAAGTCCCAAGTGATTTTGATAGCTCGTTTCTGAAAGATGATGATTCCTGGGTAGGTCGAGCATAGTCGGGCACTGAAATGAGATCTCCTACCGCAGGAGGGATATGTTGTTCCTCCTTATCTGGTGTCATCCTGCGTAGAAGTGATCTATGTGCTCGCACTAGCATCAGCTTCTGCCTCGAGGCTGTACTCCGGCCACCAGTTTGACGTGTGCACATCACCTGGCCCGGGGGATAGCGCTAAAATGCGCGACGCCGGGCTATGCGTCTATTAAACATGCATGCCAAAAGGTGTACACAATAACTCATGTCACAGATGAAGTGGAACGAACACACTATTTTTAACACAGACGAGACAGCGTGTTGGCGTTTGTTTTTCTCCCGCTTTTCAAAGATGCCGATAAAGGAGGATCCTTAAGACAAACAATAAAACTCGGCCGAGGCCATCTTCTCCTCTTGTTGTTGTCTTCACATTAATAAAAAACCGTTCCGGTCTCTCTGCCCAGTACCTTCTCTTGTCCGTACTGATATACCCATTGACGCGGCTGATTCTCGTGGTCGCAGGCTAGCTCACCCTCAAAGAGTACCCGATGAATGTGTTTGGCTGGCTATGTACATACGGTACACCTTTTGCAGGGCGTAAACTGGCTCCTGTGGAACTGGTGGAACCACCGATCTTCCATCCTGGCGGACGAGATGGGGCTAGGGAAGACCATCCAGACGGTCGGATTCCTGGACCAGCTCTGGAACGTGAGAGAAGAGGAGGGGGGGGGGGGGCGTACTCTTACGTTTTGCATGCCTTAGCGGTTAGACCATTGGGGAGGGGGGGTGATTGTTGCGCCGACTGGTTGACGGGAAGGGCGCCCCGGCATGTTTGGCCCAGCTGTGTTTTCGGAGCGTATGTGATGCTCTTATTTTTTTGTGCCAGGGTTCTCTTTTAGAACCCACGCGATCGATATTCGGAGTAGAAGTACATGGACAAAATGGCTCAGAAGAAACAGAATTTGACTTTCGCGGCCTGCCCGGTTGCGTTACCTGTTTATGTGTTATGTGTCTTGTGCCCTGCGACGTAGGTCCTCGCCGTTTCCCGTCCTGCTGTGCGGCCAATCAGAACACGCGGTCGCTTGTGTATGCGGTCGTATTGTACAGCCTGCCTGTGTACCCATCCGGTCCTTTTCCCCTTTTCCCTGGTGGCAAGTGGCAGTCAGTAAACCCCACCCCTTTTTTTGTCGCCTCCTGTCTCAACGTGCAGCACAAGCTGACCAACATCCGGGGACCGTTCTGCATCGTGGCGCCGCTGTCTCTGGTGGCACAGTGGCAGAGCGAGGTGAGGCTGCCCTTTCTTTTCTTTTCTTTCTTCTTTTTTTTGTTGTTTCAGTGTTCCTGCATCGTGCGCCCCTTTCAATCATGCAAGTCTACGAACGCCGGCTCCTCGTGAATTGATCACTTTTCCGCCGATAAGAGTCGGGAATGAATTGGCGTTGGATTGGAAGCTTCACCCCCCCTACCTCTACCCCTGTTCATTCGTCCGTATCCTTGGCTTGTCGCCCCTGGCAGATGACTACGTCAAGTGCCGACATGACCGTTAAATCGTGATCGTTTTCCTCGGCACCGACGTCACGATTCCCTTCTGTCCCTTCTGTCCCCTTTCCCCGTTTATCCGTCGTTTCTCGACCCTGATCTCGACAGATTCACTACCTGAAGCCCCGACACGCCCTTCGTTGTCATCGTCTTCCACCCACGGCACCGATCTCACGATTTCCTCTACCCCCCCCCCCCCCCCCCCCCCG